CGTTATAAACCTTTCATGAATACTAATTTTGATGTTGGCATATAAGTCTGAGCAATTTATTTCAAGTGGCTGCCTAAACTTAAGAAGAGCCCAATATAGGCATCATAAGTAAGGCCAATCATTCGAACACGGAAAAAAAGAATTAACTACTACAGCTAAATTTTAGCTGCCCATATATTACAACCTGAAATTTAGTTATCATGTCTACATTTTAGCTATGATAACTAATATTTTTTTAGTCACAGTTTAACGGAGAATGTTATAGCTAAAAAATATTAGCTGTCATAGCTAAAATTTAAGCATGATAAAAGCTATTGTAGCTAATTTTTTTCCGTGAATAACTAGTATTTTTGAATATGATTATTAAGTATTATATTTGCAATGACGCAAGAAATAATTCACATTTCTTTTTACATTTTCCTCTTTCAAATTACTGTTTTTGTACACAGGGTGTCCCAGACCTACTGTATAATCTGTTAATGGGAGATTCCTGAGGCGATTTGGAGACGATTTTTCCTCAGCAAAAATGTCGAGAAAGGTCATCATTTTTTTAATGTTCCTAATTTTTGAAATCATGTATCTTTGTAACTAAGCCTTAAATTAAAATTCTATTAAAGTAAACTTTACCTGAAATTAACTAAAAAATGTAGTTTTGCTAATCATTTATTTTTACAAGGCTTAGTTTTCAAAATAGCTTTTATTTTCAATCATTTATAACTTGAAAATTATTGGTGCCTGGACATTTTCGTTGAGGAAAAATCGTCTCCAAATCGCCTCAGGAATCTCCCATTAACAGGTTATACAGTAGGTCTGGGACACCCTGTATAATAAATTATGCCAAGATACTAATGCTGTACTTATCATGCAATTTATATGCCATTAGAGACTTTATCAATTGAAACGAGTATCGATTGCAAGCATTCGACCTCGATTCAGGTTAAATGTTCGCCGAAAAGCTTTCAAGGCCTCATCTCTCATGTGGAGTGAAGCATTAATACAATTAAAAAATCATTGCACGTATATCCTTAATAAAAAACATCGGACATAATCAACCTATGACGCACCACACTTAAACAATAAAAATAACACGTTTAATTAAAATTTATATAACTAATATTAATAAATTTAAATAAATATACGAGATAATTATGCACATAATAATAAAACAGGATAATTAAGAATAGTAAAAATAAACGGAATAATTTCGCATTTTTTCATTTTTAAAAGCTGTATAAAATCTAAGGAAATATTTTTAAAAAGTGGCTAATATATAAACATGATTATTTTGGACTTAAACAAGAAAGTTTCTATCACAATTAAATGCGTGTCGAATAAGAGATAGAAAAAAAAACTGCATAGGTCTAATTCGAGTAAAATTTAATTAAATTAACACTTTTCATCTACATAATGCACATTGAGTTTAAAAATAGCAAGTTTGAACACATGGCAAATGGGAGCGTCTGATAAAGAAGATCTGTGAATCACATGCACATTCCATGCACTCTCGCTTTAATTGAAAGTAATCATCATACTTTAATCTTGTTTATTTTCGCAAAATAACATTCCAAGAATTAAATCACTCGTTGGATCAATCGTTCAATTGAGCACATTACGATTTCTCTCTGTTATATATAGAGATATTCTATATTATCTATAGAGAAAATCGCCACACTTTCTATAAAAAAAAATTACTTTAATGCTTGAGTCTACATTTTTATATGCATATGAACATAATCAAAAATAATAAAAAAAATATTAAATATTAAAAACAAAGAGCTTCAAGATATGTTAAAGCAGCAAAGAAAAAATGTGACAATAAAATATCTTTGAGAAATAAAATGAAAATTATATTGTGGGGATTATTTTTGCATCAATTTTTGACGTTAAATTCGCATTTCGACCATGGCCCAGAAAATAAAGAATCTTTCCACACGTGTCCTCGCTCCACGTTTTCAATCGGAATGTCGTATTGTGAAACAATTCTGCACTTCGATTTTCGAATACTAAACATCGTGGAGACAGTGATTTCATTGACATTAGTAAATCGGGACATTTATGTTAGCAAACGTTTAAGTCGATTGAATAGATGCGCGAATTTATGGCAAATTGACTTTAATTACTTGAGAGAATTTAAAAAAAAAAACGTAAAACGAAACCAAGTGCACAAAAAATAATCAAACTTGTATGCAATAAATAAAAATAAAAAAAAACGAAAAAATTGAGACACATATGTACTTGACATGTTTTACTATAAAATTTGATATTCGCTATAAAGTTTAACAGTCACCTTATAAGCCTTAAAATTTTGTTACTAAAACCATGTGGAAACTTTTCCTTCAGAACATATTTCTGAGTTGAACCTTCCCATCAACATAAAGATATACTCAATGGAAAGGTTTTATAATTTTACAATGTAACATAATTTATTTTTTATTTTATAATTAAGAGATATTTATCTATGTATATAATATATATTGCATCTCTCTTTACCTCGATAAAAAATTGCAAAATATTATTTTATTTTTTATAAATTAAAAGGTTAATTATACTATACTCTATTCTTGATGCATATAAACATTTCTCACTTGGGAGCAAGTGTTAAAGTTCAAATAGTCTTTTATACATGTTTTTTATAAATATATTTAATTCATTAAACATTTTATTATGTTTAAAAGAGACAAAAAGTAGTCACGTACATCTTCATGACGTAAGCATTCCAGATAAACTACTTGTTAGCATCTCAACAATACGCCATAATCGCACGACTAGTTGTTTTTTATGTAGTTGATATTGCAGTGTGATACTGCATTGCTTAATTTATAATGCGCAGATATTTTTTTAAATTATCGGTAGAATCGTTTCTAATTTATCATTGTCAACCTCTCTATATATAATTATTCGTACGCATGTTTTCCATATTCAACCAATTAGAGAAGTAGTTAGTGTTGTATGAACTCTTGACACATTGCGTTATTATTATGATCAGTTAAGTATCTTTAATATATATATATATATATGTATCTTTTAATATATTATTTAATTTTAAAAACTTATATATTATTATTTTCTATTTATATAAGTATGTGTAAAGTAATATATAAAATAGTATATGAAGAAAATAGAGATCATATTATAGCAAAAATGCTGAAAAAAATTATACCAGATAATGTACGACAAGTGGCATGACCTTTAAAGGGATGTATAACCCTGATGAATGGATTACGCTCACGTCCGTAATATCGCCTAATCGATATCCAAGCATTGTGGGATGTATGATAGACAGAGATATTCGCACAGTGTCATTTTGTAAACGGCGAATCGCGCACCTGTCTACCTCGCCGTTTATGTCGAACGCGCTCATGTTCGGTCAGATCTAACGATCGGTAATTACGATTTATCGCGATTTCATGATAATTAATAATCATAATAATAGTGGCACATGGCACAACGGAATCGATCGCAATTCCTTGCAGATTGTTTAATAATCGCAAGATCAACCGTATTGTTCCTTCCATGGGCAATGCGATCGATTCCGTCATGCCATGTGCCACTATTATTATGATTATTAATTATCATGAAATCGCGATAAATCGTAATTACCAAACTGTGCAAGAATTATGAAAAAATTATGCGTTTTGAGAGATACGCCGGAAAGTGCATCACTGATTTAAGTGTGTTTTAATTGAAATGATATATGTACAATAGCATACGTATGTCGAGATTTAAAAAATATAAATTGTATGTACATAAATCTTGATTGCAAGATCGATTAATTTTTTTTTATTTATTTGCTTGCGGCCTTACAACTAAAACGCACAATAGCCTTTAAGAATAAATCGAGACGTTTCACATAAATGATCGTCAGAGCTATAATTTGCAAATATATTATCGATTCGAAGTATATGAGTGATTCTAGAAAAGATTCTAAAATCATGTTGCTTAACATTTTTTATGACTATAATAAAATACGACGAATGGACTTCACGCTGCGAGAAAAATCACGGTGTCTTTTACTATAATCGTATATATATGCCGATAGACTGTACAAAGTGGTCTTCGCGCGGCCGTGACCACATCGTCTTAGGCTCATGCAGTATTAAAATGACACAGGAGGCGACGGTGAACCCCGACATCAGTGCGACACAGCGCTAACTACGCAAGAATACGCAATACCGTGACAACTTTCGCTGTCACATCGGCATGACGAATTCGCACGGGTCGAGTTTAGCCAAAGAATCGCACAGAGTTCGATACTTATATATAATTAAAGCGGAAGCAACGCGAACATCGATTTTTTCTTCTTTTTTTACGCGTATATTATTAAGAGATACGTGGCAATATCGATGGTTTTTTTCTCGAAATCCAATGGTAGCCTCTCAATAAACACTCAATTTTTTTATACTCAATTATAAGAAATCTAATTAGATAATTGATGGAATTAAGCTTAAAAATGAATTTTACACTGCATTCTTTTTCACATTCTACATTGATTGCATTAATTTATATGCTAAATTGACCTGAATGATGAATACCGTTTTAAGTACACCGATGTGCGGATCGATGAAGATTTGATTCTAAGAAGAAATACGTGCAACCTTGGTGAATCGAGTATAATCGATTTACCATTGAGGTTTATTTATTTCCAAACACAATAATATATTTTACAAATAATCAGAACCGATTATATCGATACTCGTTTATGACTCAATCTCTCTTTCTCTAATAAAAATTAATAAATTACAAATAAAATTTGTAATATTAATCACAAAGAAATATACAGGTATCTCTATCTCTCATAAAACGAAAGTAAACTATCTAAGCATAAATAAATCACTGGGGGAGTATTTTCGATTCCGCGAATATATATTTGTACAAAAGTGAAGCTAAAAGAAAGGTCGATGTATACATATGCATCATAAAGCTAATTTAAACGCGTGATTGCTTCAAGATGTGATCACTATTTTCGTATCTACAGAGATCATATGCTTTTTCTCTCACAGGATAAACACAATCATGGGACGCAAACGGGACGTTAAATCGTGCCCGCCTACGACCATAGCCAGATCTAAATTTGTAATACGACATGATAATCGGTAATGATGACTTCGCCGATATTTTAACCTTCGTCTTCTTTGTTTATTATATATATGTATATAATAATACGCGATCAGAATTATTTTGTTTTGATGACATATTTCGTGCAAAATTTAAATTATTCTCACCAATTAATTATCAAAAATTATTTAAAATATATAAAAATTCACGCAGTTAATATAGAAATGTATTATATAATTATTAAATTATTTTATTGAAAATTAAAATTGTTATATAAATAACTAGAAATTATTTATATTAGTGAATTTTATATTTTCCACACAATTTAATAGAACGTTGAATTGAATAAAAATGAACAAAAACTAGGAAGCAGTTTCCGGATCTATTAAAATTAAGAGAATACGAAGGTATATAAAATTGAGAATTGAATGTTTGCAACAGCGTGAGATACTTTTCTTCCACAGACACGAGATGATCATGCTACACAAACGGCGCGACAGGTTGTCCAGACCGTTAAAGTTGCCTGCCATCGAGCTTACACAGCGAGTAAAAACCAGTCGGTAAAAAATTCTCGAACGATTCACAGCGATGGGTTTAAGTGAAAATTTTCTCATTCGTTTCTATCTACGGAAAATATTCGCAACCACTCCTGAGAGAAACCGTGACATCTTAGATATCATCTCGGAAATTGAATTACGACAAACTGCATTGTATTTTTACTTATATTAATTCTTAGAAAGTGTGTATTGCATAATTTGTTTTAATTAACGACACAATTTACAAGTTATTTGTTAAATTCAAAAGATTTAAAAATTATTTCAACTGTTTATAAAGAGAACTTTATTTTTCTTTGTATTTTAGTGTTAATTATAAAGTAACTCATTTTATGACTATTCCATTGTTGAGAATTAAAATTTCTGACAATGACAAATGTTACACAAATAAAAAAAAATATCTTTGATAACAATAAAAATTTGTAGATTGAAGTAAGTAAACGCGGAATATGAATTTCGATTCTAATCATGTAAATTCAGAAATTTAACCCATCACTAATCGTGAATATAACATAATAGTATCTTTTATCTCTCTAACAAACGTATCAATGTGTTAAATCATTTTACGTTCAGATTAACAACACATACGGCTCGAGTCGGCGATGTGCCATCCAACTCGGAGTTGGTCAGCGAAATGGCATTGCAAGAAGAGCCTGATCAACCAAGGTGTCTTGATGCACGATTTTAAATATCTTTGTTATACACAGATATACAATATGTATTAAATGTCACAACTTTTTCGCTGAATTGATATAATCGTCGTACAATTAAATAATAACGCATTAATAATTATTATAGCATCATTCTCCATTTCTATTATATCTCGATGTATATACATACATTTTTTGTTAGGATATCTATTTTATATTATTTCTTTCTCTCTCTCTCTCTCAGATTTTTTTTAATTCATTTGCCATTTACTCCAAATTAGTATGCAGAAATCAAAAAGTATGCCAGCACATATTTTTTGAAATACACTGTTGCAACGAAACATTTTATTGCCGCAACTGCACTTCTTGCTAAACGCACATGTTCATGCAAATTGATGTGATTGTAGGTCGCGAGATAAAATATTTTTTTCTAATTTTCTATCGCAATTCAATTTTATATAGTTCCTGCATTAAAATTGTCAGATTTCTTTACTTGTTCTTAAAGGCAATTTTGCTTTAACATTAAAAAGATCGCTATAATTTTGCTATTTATGTATCTTGCAAGTCATTCGCAACTTGCGAAATAAATAATTAATCTTTGTCAGCAAGACAATAGATCGATTATTTGTTATAAAAAGTCAACATGGGTGCGGTATAATTTTGAGCGTAGAGGGTCAAGTAAAATCAATTAACCTGATATATAAAAAAATAATTATGAAATATTATATAAAAGCAATCAATATCTAATTTTGTAATCGAGTGTAACAAAGACCAATTTAAATCTGAACAATTGTGTGCAAAAATAATTGCTAAGATAAATTTGTAATATATATTTTTAATATTTTACAAAATCGAAACTAGTTTTTTTCAATAAAATTTAAATTCGAAATTTTTTACAAAATTATCTGCTTTGTATATCTTTGTATCTGATTGTAGCATATAATCTCGTTACGTGTGTAACACCGCAAAGTTTTTCACGTACAATTGCAACATGAATTTGTCAAGATTTTTTCTTATGATGGTGCGATACAGTTTTTTATATACATTTCGAGGTGGCGCATATATCAACGGTTATAACTCATAATAATTATGCACGATAGAACATTGCTAAATCATTCCCCTTCACGTGTAATAATGCCTGGTAAACCAGTGAATTAATACTCGCGCGCGAAAACTCTTTGGAAAAATGCGAGTTTTGCAACGCGACGTTTGCAAAGGTCACGATATAAATTTTTCCATATCCAGTTTGTATTACATTTCTATAGTTATTAAAATAACTACACATATTATATATGTGTATAAATGAAAAATGAATTAACGTCTATAATTTATTAGTTGAATGTAAAGACTTAAATGCACCTTACTTGCTTTTATGGTATAATAGCAGTGTGTGTTTGTTCACAATTAATAACTTTTTAACAAGCAGCAAGTGTTGATACAGCAATTTTTTCAAATAATCCGTAGATAAACTATCAAAAAAATTCATTTTAATTGATTTATACAACGAGTAAGTTTTATGTAACGTTATTTAATCTTGAAAAAAATTAATGCATCAAGTAAAAAAGAGAGAAGTCATCTGAATGTAAAGCAAACACATGCTTTTCTGAATAAGAACAATTAAAATATAATCTGCATTTCATTGACGATGATAATAACAACAAATTTCGACAAAATGTGCGCAAATTTACAAGTTTAATTGTTTAAATGAATTATTATATATTGACGAAAAGAGAAATGTGAATTTGAAATTCTAATTGAGTTTTATTTTAATTTTTATAATTTATTTTGCAATTTATTTTTCAAATTAATTTTTGTATAAAAATTATATCTTCTATATCTATATTCATATTTTGCATTTCAGAGATAGAAAAAAAATGGAATTTTTAGAGATGATACTACTGCTTCAAAATGTAATACTCGCATTCTCTTGTTTAGCTAATGAAAGACACAAAGAATATTCTAAAGACACAAATGAAGAAAAATCGCGAAATAAAATCGACGAGGCAGAAGAGCCACGAGAATTCGCGCTCGTTCGTGAGCACGTCGATGCGTGTGTGTGCCTTACGAATTCCGCATCTTCCGAGCATATGCATACATCCATCCGTCACGCACACGCACTTTGTACACATTAATCTACCTGCGTGGTTCATCCACCAGAAGATACACATGAGCGCGCGTCCACCGCATATTGCCCAATGAATTGCCACGCGCGTCCGCGAAAAGAAAGCCGCGCGCGCCTGTTGCGTAACTCGCATCGCTCTTTCTACATGCAATTCGCACCGAGATTTGCAGAATCGTTTCTCGCAGTGCGTGTAATACGCGGTGATTTTGCAGTGTATAATTTTGCAGGCGCGCTTTAAAATTTTTCCTTTTAAGGAGTTGGACACAACAGGCTGTAATCAACCCCTTCGGAAAAATCCTAAAACGAGGCGATTAAGCATTGCAATTTTCTGGAAATTCCACCAAAAATGCATCTCTCTCTATTCTTCAACAGAATGGAAAAATCTAGTTTTTAAGATGGAAAAAAAGGTTTTTATCGATTTTTGAAGCTGAAAATTGCATGAATCTCGAGTAACGTTTCATCAAAGGAGCATGATTGAATTTTCGAATCGCACTACAGGTATAGCCTTACCTTGGAACATCTTTTTGCATCACGATTGTACGCGACGCATCACAAGCACCTTGCAAAGAAATCTTCGCCGTCGGCATCGTGTGTACATACAAGATTGTTGCACAAGACGTCGCATGCGATTTGTGACATCCTTGTGTGCATCCGTAATCGCCGGTGCGCGATTTCTGACAACGCGATCTCTCGTTAACGTCATGCTCGTTTGCTTGTTCCAGCGACGGAGGTGCGGGTGCAGCGGGTCTCACGAACGCGACGACGATGCAGAACAACGGGGACAGCAACGTGGACCTGACGTCAGTGACGTCAAGCGCAGTCTTGTCACAACCGGGTCTGAACAACCCCACCTGGAATCGTCAACAAGCTGTTAGCGTCAGGCATGCCTTCAAGAGCTATGGCAGCACGAAGAATCCGAATCATATCTTACAGAATCTCAATATGACCGTGGCCAAAGGCTCGATGTAAGTATTTCATTATTTTATTTTATTATTTTATTTAAAGACATATTTTTTGGTATATATATATGGACAAAAGAACTTACTTTATATATTTCTTTTGCAATTAATAATCAATTAGTAACAGTTTGAATATTTAGCTTGCATTAAATGCATGAAATAGTAAATCAAGAAAACTTGTTAATTTTTGTATAATCTACATATCTAGTATCAAATAATTAAATATGTATATGTACGTAACGAATATATATAACGACTGAAAGTCTTTTGAGGCATTTAATGCAAGTTAAATAAAATAAAAACGATATTAATATTATGTACATGTCCATAAAACGTTATAATAAAATATAATATTAATTGCAATTTACTTATTATTAACAATAAATAATATAAGTTTAACTAGGCTTGTAATTATATAAATATAAATTAACATATATAAGATAGGCAATAAGAGCCAAATCGCGGATGACAGTGCGTTATTCTAAACGAAACTAAATTTTTTCGTTAGAAATAAATACCTGTGCACAAGGCACCAAATTTTTACTTGGACACGGCCAAGATATAAAATTGAATAATCTCTACAAGAGATTTTTAATTCCATGTATCCCCTATTCCCCCTAAAGAAATAAAGTGCGAGAGAAAAATATAGATCCGAAAGTCGCAGAATCGGGAATCGAACCCGAGACCTTTCGCTTGCCGGGCGACTGCTCTTCCAACTGAGCTATTCAGATCCTTTCGATTCTATACTTTTCTCTGTTATATATATTAATGTTGGTAAATAAACGCCTTTAAGCCAGCGTGTATAAATTAAGAGTTTAACTAGGCTCTGTAATATATAATTATAAATTTAACATATATAAGATAGGCAATAAGAGCCAAATCGCGGATGACAGTGCGTTATTCTAAACGAAACTAAATTTTTTCGTTAGAAAAAATACCTGTGCACAAGGCACCAAATTTTTACTTGGACACGGCCAAGATATAAAATTGGAATAATCTCTACAAGAGATTTTTAATTCCATATATTAATAATTAAAGAAATAAAGTGCGAGAGAAAATATAGATCCGAAAGTCGCAGAATCGGGAATCGAACCCGAGACCTTTCGCTTGCCGGGCGACTGCTCTTCCAACTGAGCTATTCAGATCCTTTCGATTCTATACTTTTCTCTGTTATATATATTAATGTTGGTAAATAAACGCCTTTAAGCCAGCGTGTATAAATTAAGAGTTTAACTAGGCTCTGTAATATATAAATATAAATTTAACATATATAAGATAGGCAATAAGAGCCAAATCGCGGATGACAGTGCGTTATTCTAAACGAAACTAAATTTTTTCGTTAGAAATAAATACCTGTGCACAAGGCACCAAATTTTTACTTGGACACGGCCAAGATATAAAATTGGAATAATCTCTACAAGAGATTTTTAATTCCATGTATCCCCTATTCCCCCTAAAGAAATAAAGTGCGAGAGAAAAATATAGATCCGAAAGTCGCAGAATCGGGAATCGAACCCGAGACCTTTCGCTTGCCGGGCGACTGCTCTTCCAACTGAGCTATTCAGATCCTTTCGATTCTATACTTTTCTCTGTTATATATATTAATGTTGGTAAATAAACGCCTTTAAGCCAGCGTGTATAAATTAAGAGTTTAACTAGGCTCTGTAATATATAAATATAAATTTAACATATATAAGATAGGCAATAAGAGCCAAATCGCGGATGACAGTGCGTTATTCTAAACGAAACTAAATTTTTTCGTTAGAATAAATACCTGTGCACAAGGCACCAAATTTTTACTTGGACACGGCCAAGATATAAAATTGGAATAATCTCTACAAGAGATTTTTAATTCCATGTATCCCCTATTCCCCCTAAAGAAATAAAGTGCGAGAGAAAAATATAGATCCGAAAGTCGCAGAATCGGGAATCGAACCCGAGACCTTTCGCTTGCCGGGCGACTGCTCTTCCAACTGAGCTATTCAGATCCTTTCGATTCTATACTTATAGGGTTCGATTCCCGATTCTGCGACTTTCGGATCTATATTTTCTCTCGCACTTTATTTCTTTAGGGGGAATAGGGGATACATGGAATTAAAAATCTCTTGTAGAGATTATTCCAATTTTATATCTTGGCCGTGTCCAAGTAAAAATTTGGTGCCTTGTGCACAGGTATTTATTTCTAACGAAAAAATTTAGTTTCGTTTAGAATAACGCACTGTCATCCGCGATTTGGCTCTTATTGCCTATCTTATATATGTTAAATTTATATTTATATATTACAGAGCCTAGTTAAACTCTTAATTTATACACGCTGGCTTAAAGGCGTTTATTTACCAACATTAATATATATAACAGAGAAAAGTATAGAATCGAAAGGATCTGAATAGCTCAGTTGGAAGAGCAGTCGCCCGGCAAGCGAAAGGTCTCGGGTTCGATTCCCGATTCTGCGACTTTCGGATCTATATTTTTCTCTCGCACTTTATTTCTTTAGGGGGAATAGGGGATACATGGAATTAAAAATCTCTTGTAGAGATTATTCCAATTTTATATCTTGGCCGTGTCCAAGTAAAAATTTGGTGCCTTGTGCACAGGTATTTATTTCTAACGAAAAAATTTAGTTTCGTTTAGAATAACGCACTGTCATCCGCGATTTGGCTCTTATTGCCTATCTTATATATGTTAAATTTATATTTATATATTACAGAGCCTAGTTAAACTCTTAATTTATACACGCTGGCTGGCTTAAAGGCGTTTATTTACCAACATTAATATATATAACAGAGAAAAGTATAGAATCGAAAGGATCTGAATAGCTCAGTTGGAAGAGCAGTCGCCCGGCAAGCGAAAGGTCTCGGGTTCGATTCCCGATTCTGCGACTTTCGGATCTATATTTTTCTCTCGCACTTTATTTCTTTAGGGGGAATAGGGGATACATGGAATTAAAAATCTCTTGTAGAGATTATTCCAATTTTATATCTTGGCCGTGTCCAAGTAAAAATTTGGTGCCTTGTGCACAGGTATTTATTTCTAATAAAATATTAAATTTCGTTCGCCAGGAATGAAATACTAAGGTAGTAGATATTAAACTGACTACACTGGCTGTCTATTAGATTTGTTAAACTATATTTATTGACGTCTTGTTTTTATAGATATGTAGATGACATATTCATGATCCTTCCTAACGATAAACTGTTAGAGGTGAGCGAGGTGTTTAATAGCTATCACCCAAGACTAACTTTTACTTATGAGACTGAAACTAATATTCACTCAGCTTTTTGAATACAATTGTCCACAGGGATGATAATAAGCTCATAACTAACTGGTACAGAAAACCAACATTCTCAGGAAGATACATCAATTTTTTCTCGAATCATCCGACAAAATATAAAATTAACACCATTACTAATTTAGTTGACCATGCAATAAATTTATCTAATAAACGGTTTCATGACTCTAATTTAAAAATTGTAAAGAATATTTTGAAAAATAACTGCTTCCCGGAAAATCTCATTAATAAATATGTCAATGATAGAACCCACAAGCTGTCACAACCTATAAACAATGAGAATAAAAAAATTATAAATGTAGATTCGACGGATGTTTCGAGGGAAAATTTCATCGTCATTCCATATTGTAATCGGTTCACTAATGACATATATAGATTTCTAAACAAAAAGAACCTTAACGTAATTTTTACCATCCCCAAAAACTGAACTGTTTAATAAAATCGGGGAAAGATAATTTAGATATTAATAGCAAACCGGCGTAGTCTATTGTATTAATTGTAACATTGTGATTCTAATTATGTAGGGCAGACAAAAAGACATCTTAGTACTAGGATCAACGAACACCGACGTAATATTAAAAATTCAGCGAGCAATTTTTCTGTTGTTAGTGAGCACAGAATTAATCAAGGACATGAATTTGATTGGTCGAATCCTTTAATTCTGCATAAAGAAAACAATAGAAGAAAAGAGAAATAGCCGAAATGTACTTCATCAAGAAATTGAATTCCACTATCATTTA